CCTGTTGGTCACTCTCAGGTTAGAAAATATAAAGGGTTGTTTACGCACACACACACAAAAAAGATCAGATAAACTGTCAGCTGTATGGGGATGGAAGGGAGCCCTGCACAGTGCTGCAACCCACATCAGGCTCACATACACTCAAAATCCTTCAGCCCCCCGAGAAGGTGTATGAGAGTGTGCATAAACACAAAAGCAAACCAGCTTGACTTTGCTTAGGGAAAAAAAAAAAATAAGATCCCTTGTGAGCAAGAGAAGACCATGCTGAAGGCAGCACAAAGTTAGAAACCAGACCCTGCTTTACCTCCCAAGCAGCCTTGTTGCACAACCCTTTCATTCAGATCAGGACCATGTTCCTTGGGCTCATGTATCACTGAGCCCAGCAGGTCAGATGCAGCAAGGGCTGCAAAACCCATGGGGAAAGCCTGGCTGAATACCTGGGTGCTTAGCCCACATTAAGCTTGGGAAGCATAAAGTTCACTCTTGTGTAAGAAAGGTGAGCTGGATGCTCCCCTTTTCTGCACAGAGCTGTGCCAAGGATAAACACACTTCAGGGCTACAGTAAGAGGGGACGAGATGAGTGCGAGAAGCAGAGAGAAACGTGGCTGCAGCTGGCCCATCACAGGCTGCCCGTGAAGGGTTAAGATCAGAAAGAAGCCAGGGCCTGGCCAGGCGCCAAGGCAAGCCTCCAGCTAAATTGAAGGTGGCCAGCCCAGAGGCAGAGGCTGCTGTCCTCTCCCAGTAACCCAGCACACTGTGACCCATCCCCACAAATAGCTCTTGGAGGCACCCAGCAGGCCCCTGGATGTGACAGGGACAGGCCATTTTCAAGGTGTTGCTTAAAGGCAGCTCCTCCAGCAGGGTTCCTCTCTCTAAAGGATTATTTAACACAAAGTCTTCTCTGAGCTGGGGGTAACTTAAACAGGATCCCTTTTCCAACACTGAGCTACATGTGGTCTTCCATCTGATTTTAAAGGTGCTGAGCAGCTACTGATCCACTTGATTTTTGAACTGCGTAGGATATACGCGGTCAGAACCGGATCTCATTATTAGAGGCAAAGTCGGATCTTCCTTGAGGTCATTACAATCCCCTGTTATCAGCACAATGTGCAAATTGTCACATTGTTGGACGAGAGCCTGTTCGCCACTGACCGACCCGCTCTGCTGAGCTTTTGAGCTGCAAGGACTGAACTTACCATGGGCAAATGCACAAGTTAATGTAAGAGCAACTTAACGCTTGCTCATCACATTGTTGCTCTGTGTGGCTGGCAGGGAACAGTTATCAAGGAACTAACATCAAAATTCACATTTAGGTATTAACAAAGCTGTAAGAATGTCACACAGTTGTAAAGGGAGAACCACTGAAAAACCAGGCAGAGTGACCACCATTGTGGGTTTAAAACTTCAAAAGAGAAAATCCCTTTTCATTTAGCTCCAATTACTACAGACTTCGAGAGCTCATTATATTACTTCCTAATGCTTGCAGGGGAGAGAGGGAAGTACTCGTACCCCTACTGTGCCCAGAGAACTGAAACACAGAGGGAATGGCTTGTCCATCCCAGCCTATGTCAGAGAAGAGATGAGTTAACCCACATGCCCACCCAAAATCCACTGTGTTCCTTGTAGCAAGTAGAGCCCAGAGGTCTGCAAACCCACCGCCTCCCTGGGAGCTATGTGAAACATTGATCTACCCAGCCAGCAGCCGCATGCTGTGGCAATGAGAGCTGTGGCAATGAGAGTCATTTCCCCCAGAGCAGGCAGCGTGACCCCACATTGGGGCTTTCACAAGCTCTGTGTAAACACAAGCTCAGGAAAAGCAAATGCGAACCACATTTCCACAGAACTTTTCCCCAACTGAAGGGGCCTTGGTTCCTACCCCTGGGAAAACAGCTGAAAAAGAGGCGTGGATGCCAAACCCAAGGGTCTAAGAGTCAGCTTTGAAGAGACAAAGGGTGGGAACATTAGCTTTAATATGGAAATTGATCTGGGGGAGAAAGCAGGCAAGCAACAGAGCAGAGACAGGCAAAAAGGAAATTTACTTTGGACCTAAGCCTACAAACTTAACGCAAGAGAGACCTCTGTGGACATGCTCCTCACCTCAGCCACTCAAAGGTCCACCCACAGCCACCAACAGACAGGCAGCCCTTGTCATCCACAGCATGGCTTGTGGGGTGGAAGGGATGTGGATGAAGTTGAGAGTGAAGGTAGGTCACCCTGTGCCAGAGGGAGAGGGGAGCAGTTTCCTCCCAAAGCCTCACCACCGCTCCAACCTGGGGCTCTAGCTCTCGGGGGAAACCCAGCATCTGAGCTCCCCTTGTTCTGCCACACAAACCTGGCTGCTCAGCCCACATCTACCAGGGGACGGTGCTCCAACCTGCAATCCCGGAGACAGGAAAGCTGCCCCAAGCCCATGACTCCCTGAGCAGGCTCAGGAGGGACAGCACGGCCACAGACCACAGCCCCACGCAGGCACACTGCCCCTGCCTGCCCAGGCGCTTCAAGCCTGGAGGAAGCAAAACGGACAACCCACGCGCCCACACAAGCCACAGCCGGGCTTTGTCCGCACCACATTGGGCTGTGTGGCTGGGGGAAGTCTGCCAGCACTGCTGGTGGGCCAAGGCAGCCTCCAAACTGCTAACAGGTGGCTTCCAACAAGACCAGCCTGAGCTGGATTTGAACTGGTGCCTGAGCACAGAAAGCTCCAAGTTTCATCCTCAGCCCCCTCAAAATTTTCATCTATCAAGATCTACATAGAGGGGTCTATACATCAAGTCCCTTTGTTAGTGGTTTTCTCTGCTGCTCAGGCTCTTTGCACAGTGCCTTCTCCTTTTCAAGCATGCACCAGAGAATGTGAGACCTGCTTGCAAGACCTCCTGGCCTTATACTCACATCAACAAACAGGATGGCAAGATGCAGCTGTACCCCTTCCCTTCAGCAGGGCGCAAGACCAAAATTAAGGGCAAAACATTACATCGTGCACAAGGCAGGGCTGAAAGAGAGCTCGGAGACCACTCAGCCCCACGCCATGAAACTCCCTCTTCCAGATCCCTGCCGGGTGGTTTTACCATGGTCCATTCAGCAGCAAGCCATGAAGTTGACTAAGACACCTCTGACAGCCACGGCTGCCCGTTGGGAAGCTAGGACACAAGGGATTCCAGCAGGAACTCAGCCAAGGTTTAGGCTGGGTGCTGCACTCTCCCATTCAAATAGCTGGGGTCTAGTTTGGTTCCTTTTGCTGAGGCAGTATCAAAGTTAGCCTGGCCATCCCTAGCGAAACTGTTAATTGGGACATGTAGTTTCCACCACAACCTAATACTGCTGGAAAGAGAGTGGAAACTGCCTCAATCCCCTCTGGACCTCCCCTTCTTTCCCCAGAGCTGGCTTGCTGCCCACCCTATTGCTCATCACTTCAGAAGATTTCCGGGACTCATGGAGGCATGGGGGATTTCATATGCATTTAAACAACCACCTTGCATCCTCCTCCTCCATCCATCCATCCTTCCCTTTTCCCCTGCTCTTTTGGATGTTTCCCCAATCTCCTCCCCATTCAGATGGTTTTCCCATCAGTATCCCAGACTTGCTCCTGCTCTTATTTATCTTCACAGCAAGACACTCGTGCTTTCAGGCCCTAGTCCTATAAACCTTCTGCTGTGCCAAGGAACCTCCCTGGGCTCTCCCCATCCAAGGGGGCCCTGCAGCATCTGAAGGAAGAACGTGTCAACTTTCTGAACAAAATTTCACTGAACAAATACAAGCATTGAAGTTCCTGTTGGTTTCCTTCTCCATACAGAAGCAGGGGGTTGTTCACTGGTGTCCACGCTGAAATGCAGGCTACTAATGCCAAGTGGTTATCAGAGCCATCTCCTCACCTTTGTTTTTTCCTCCCTGCGAGAGATCCCAGTGTTTAAGGAAGGAGACAACAATGGGGGATACCCTGTCCCACCCATACCAACCTGAATCAACAGAAATCCCATGTGTCAGCGGAAGAGAGGGAGACACACAGAGAAAACGCAGAATGGTGCTGGCATTTCAGGGAGTTCTTTTTAGCTACGGCAGGAAGGTCAGAGCCAGGACAGACAACTCCAACACAATGAGCTGCTGAAGCTAAATATAAACCTGTTGAGGGCATGGATACAGGAGTTTGTTTTTACAGTGAGCTGACAGACGATCAACATTGTGCCACATCCCTGCTCAAAATAATTCACAGCTTTATCATTACTGACAGTCTTTGTTTTTTATCAAAGAGGCAGAGCCCATGCTTACACCCATTTGCCAGTCTAAGTCAGTGGAAACGATTAACTGGGAATGAGAAATACTCGAACTTTTCCATTTCTATTATGCCAGTCTAGGAAAAACCATTACATTCCTCTCCCGGGATGGGATCACCTCGTTAGGGAGCCACTTATCTAGCTTCCTCACTCACACACACACAACCCTTAATGTTACATTAACTGCTACAAACATGGTAGCTTCTCAAGTCCACAGTCCTTTCCCAATACACCACTTGGCAAAAACTACTTTTCCTTAAACCTGGGTCACATGTTGAGGTTTCTACACTTTGCTCACAGATATCAAGATTTGGTTGACAAACTGTTTTTGCCTGCTTACTCAGAAAAAATAAAAAAAGGTGATGTTTACCCAGCATAGTTATCTCAGTATGATTCTCAGAACTGCAGAGATTTTTAGAGGAAGGGGAACTCTTGTGGAAGAAAAAACCTGAAGTGTTAAAAGCAAGGAAAAGAGAAGGTGCAAGAACAAAATTATGTAATTACAGATAAAATATGCTTCAGCCCCAATGAATGGAAGGGAAAGTGCCCTAGCTAAAATTCAGGATGCTATTTTTAAGTACAGTGGTAGGAAAAAGAGACAACCGTGGTGTCATGCCAGTAACACATTTGTTATTTGGTGCCCAGGGAGACACTCAAATGATTCGCATGGCTGGTATTTAACTTGCTATTTCTTGCTAGGCTTATGTTACAGCAGAGAAATCATTTCCTTACTCTCGAACATGTACTTCTTTGCAATAGGCAGAGAGAGCAGCCGGATGTGACTGATGAGGGAGCCCCAGGCATGGGCTCGAGAGAGCGGAGCTTCAGGCGGCAGCGGGCTGTATGGCTGGATCACGAAGTAAACAGTCAGCAAGACCAACCCCAGCGTGAGCAGGCCCTGCGAGAGAAAACAGGCACATAATTAATTATACTGCAGTGAGCTGATGCGTCTTCAGACCAGGACACACCTTCTGGCTGGTATCAAAGGGTTGTGGCTGTGCGCTCTAAGATGAACACTCAAATTTTTGCTGTGGCTCCTTGTTCAATTGCAATGCTATTTATTATACAGAGTTGTAACTCAGTTTTACTGTTAGGGCTGTCCAAGGATGAAATTTAGCAGCCTTCAAACCCAAGCCACACAACTCTGTTCATGTATTTTAGCACTGCAAATAATCCAGCACCAGAGCAGTGAGGATTATCTACAGATAGTTCCGATTCCTCCCACCTAATCAAATAAAAGCTTGCACTTCTGCCATACCTCTTACCCAAGGTTTTCAAGGCTTTTTGCAAACATCCATCAAGCCTTGAAACACTTTGGCAGAGTTGGCACCAGCTCCCTCCTCCATACCAGAATCCCAAATAAGCCTTAAAGAGATGACATGACGCATTTCTTCCCCTGCCCAAAGTCAATCAACAGCAAAAACAAGAACAGAAGCTGAAAGTTCAAATTTCTAGTTTCCTGTTCTCCTGCCGCATTTTACAGCTTTTTATAGGACATGAGGAAGACAGCTTGAATTTTTTTTCTAAATAGAAGCCATTGTGATGATTTTGTAAAGACGACACTAAAATACAACTGAATATTACGCCACTGGGAAGTTTTTCATCCTTGTAGCAAACATCTCGAACCTACCTAACAATAGCATCCTTCGCAAAACTTTTTACAATGCCTTTTAGTTAAGGGTCTCAAAATATTTTTCTAGCATCAGGCATCATGGCAACAGGTTTATTTCATAGATTAGAAGGAGAATAAAGACAGGTAGGATGCTTGTGACAGGGTCAGAAACAGAACCTGGATCTCTTCATTATTCAACTCTGAACTTTAAGGATCTCCTTCCTTCCTCACTTTTCCACTGAGGGTGCTGACACTGGGAATCTTTGCCTGAAGAATCAGTCCAAGTCTCATTCTTTAATAATTTAAGGAGAGAAACGTGTTGACATGTTAAACTTTCAACACACATGAGCAATTTCAAATCTCAGTCAGCTGTCTTCTGTTTTCAGACCAGCTCATAGGACAAAGGAAGGAAGCTATGCTTCACAGCTTTTTAAATAAAGCAACTCAGAAAAATTCATCAAGAAAATACAATGGGAAATAAAAGGCTCAGGTGCAAAAGGAGAACCCTGACCCTCAAATAGTCCGTGCATGCACAAAAGACACCTTACCTTGTAGAGAACTACTAAGATAGGGTACCGGGGAGGTCCCCTTTGGGGTTCATTTCTTTCCAAGAGCTGCTTGATGAATTTCTCAATGGCTTTTTCAGACATCCCACACTGGTGGCCAGTCTGCCTCACTAGATCAATCGTCTCCGATAGCTTGTCATAAATGCTGAGCTCATTGGCCGAAAGCTCCATGGCCTCCAATGAAAAATCCCTGCAGAGAGATTCAGTATGTTAACAGAAAACACACTCCCCCCCGTACAGCTCAACACCAGCATATGCAGAGAGATCACAGGAACATCACAACGTCTAGGCAAGAAGGAAGGCTTCTCTGGAGCAAACCTGTTTGCAGCCAAAGGCAAAACATTTAGCTGCAGTCCTAACAGTCTCTGCTGATTCAGTATCTCCCCAGGGACTAAAAGAAGCCGTGAAGTCTCCTGACAAAAGAAGAACTGGCCAAGATTTGCAGGTTATGTAAATGAACAAAGCTTCCCAGAAATCAATGAAACCACTTATTCATCCAGTCCAAATGAATCCATCCCATAAAGCAATTGCTTACCAAGTACAAGAGCCAGCAATACAAAGCTGATCATCACACACAGTAGCCAAGCTAAGCTCTCCTGCACTATAATTTTAGTCACTTATTTTAACGTGGATTTGCTTTTGTTAAATCCCCTGTCAACAGTAAGAACATGACAGAGAAATAAGCAATATGTGTAGGGCAAAGTTCAACAGTTTACAATTTGTTTAAATTTTCGCAACCTAACGTCCAGGCCAACTGATTATTGAGTAACAGTAATGTGATAGCAGCATGCTCTGCAGGCAACAAAAGCTCCTACATTCCTCTGAAAGTTTGCCTGCAGGTCATTGGTATGCAGAAACGCCACAGAACTAAATACCGCAGCTAAAATTGCATTGTGAACTCAAGACAGAGACAAAATGGCGTTTGACAGCAAATTATTTCCCACCGTGAAATTTCAACAGGGAAGCTTGTAAGAACACACCTATGAGCGATCAACATTAAAATGCCAAAAAAAAAAAAAAAAGAGAAAAATGTGTTCCTCTACCACTCACCCTGCCTGCCACAAAGGCAGAGCCTTGCGATACCAAGAGCAGCAGATGGGCTGAAGAAAAGATGCAAAGAAATTGCTGGACAAGCTAATAGCTGCCAACGTGAGCATCCCATTGTTAGAAAGACATTTAGCCTCAGAAAAACACTGCTGGGGAAAAGATAGCACATGTGAGGTCTTGCTTTGCTTGTTTCTGAGCTGGGAAAACTCTAACCTGGATCAAACTGGGACAAGTGAAACTCTTTCCGGAGAGAGACAGTTTAGCGATGCATTGCCCTGAAAGCGCAGACTGAGGACCATCATAAAAACACAAGAAGCACAATCAATACACCCAGTAGGAAACAGAAATCGGGCCTCTGTCCCCCTTTTGCTCCAAGTACCGCCTGACACCAGGAACCAGCTGGTGAATCCTGTGTGCTACTTCACCCAGTTCACCACCTCACTCTGCAAAGTCTGTCATTGTACTGCAAGAATTGTACAACTATTTACACAGGTCTGCTCTGCACACACCTCACAGCACAGCCTGCATTTTAAAAGCACAGATCTGTTTTGCTCACTTAAGAACAAGCTGACAAGTACTGTGTAACTCATTCTGGCTGCTCCCACAGGACAAATCAGCCATAAATGTATGTATATATGTATGCATATATAAAAAAATATTCTCTTGTTAGGCAACCAAACTTGAAACCCAATTTGCATTTAAAGAACTGGCAGACAGCTCTCCCCCTAAACTACAGGCTTCTACAAGAAGTCACAACGCAAAAAATGGCATGTTTAATATCTTTTTTTTCTGAAACTACACCTAGCATTGCAGAAAAAAACCCCACTCTTCAACAGGACTACCAGCTTCAGCAATTGCTTCTCTACCCCCAGGATTGACTCCCCATTCTGCGCCTGCACATTTGTTTATGTGGTCACATGGTGAATCAGATCAGGAAAATTATGTGGCTGAAAAATAACCCCTATTTGTTTGGTCAGCAGCTGCCTAAGCTTCCAAGTGGAGCAGTTAATGTCAGATGTCATATTAACATTAGTGTAAAATATCTAGCCACAGCCTTAGAAACACCACAGGAGTAAAATGCCAAGTTAAAACCTAACCCGCAGCATGCAATGAGAACATGCTGCACTACATTGCCAGGTTAATTAGCTCCTGGCCCTGTTCTACTGCCATTCCTCACATTCCATACAAATATTTGTCCCAGATCTTACCACCTGAGCAGCCTCATGGGCTAGCAAAGCTGCCCCAAAGCATGTTTGATCAATAATGTCTCATTATGAATCATAAGCCCTCCAAGGCTGGGACATTTTCTTCTCATCTATAAACCACCTGGCATGCACTTGGCTTTATAAAAACAATACATTGCTTTACTAACTCTTTATGTAATACCCCGATTCATATAACAAGCAAGAGCCAGCACATCTGCAGGATATTAAATGCCTTTCCCCCCCCCCAGCTTTCCTGATTATTCTAGTTCCCTTGATGCTGCAACTGGTGCGCCGAATGGTCTGAAAGGTTATCTAGCTTCCTCTGGCTCCTGTGTGCCAAAGCTTTCACCTGTGAAGTTCTCCCAGGCTGAATTTCAGCAGATTCAGCAAGCTTCCCCTGCTTGCAGGATTTGCCTGGAACCACTTAAAAAAAAATCCCTACAGAAATGCTCTCAAACACGGTGATTTCCTCCTTTCCAAACAGCAGAAGCATCCAACTATGATAAAATACCAAGATACATCCCAGTTCTCTCCCTTCTACATTTGTATTCAACACCTTTGTAGACAATCCCTGCAAGTCACAGACATTAAAAACCCAACGCAGCTCCCTAACAAACTCAAGAGTAACTAACCCACTTCCTTGGCTAGGAAATAAGGTAGGAAATAAGGCATTACGCTCCCACGTTGTTTTGAGAACAGATGAAATCTTAAAAGCCTAGTAACAATCCCTTATTTCCCTTCCTATCACAATACAACCAACAAAATAGTAAGAACAGACTACTGTACCCGCTTTGCTGTCACACACGCATACTGAACGAGTCCTATCCTTTGGCCACAGCAACCCCTCACACACAGGCCTTTTAAACCCATATGTTATTGCTTTTTTTTTTTTTTTTTTTTTTTTTTTTTTTTTTTTTTTTTTTTTTTTTTTTTTTTTTTTTTTTTTTAAATGAACTTCACCACCTCAGGAGGAATAAACAGCTCTCCCCGCAAACATAAATAGCGATGGTTCTCGGCCTGAAGGGTTTCCACCCAGTCCTACCCGCAAACCCGATGCACGGCGGGTGTTTGGGGCCAGGCTGCAGAACGCTCAATGTTTAGAGAGGAAACGCTGGTGGAGGAGTCTTTAAAAGGGAAAAGCTTGCTCGCCTTGCTGGTGAACCTGAAACAGCGATATAAATAAAAATACAGTCTCATCTGCTTTAACACCGTTTATTTGCCTCCCTCGGCCCTGCTCGGGGGTGGGGGATCGGGTCTCAGCCCTGGGCTAAAAACCCTCCGGAGAGGGGTCTGCACCCCACCACCGGCCCACGGCATCACCCTTATTTATCTCTGAGGCAGAGGAGCTCCTACCAGGACTATTTTTTTTTATATATATATAAATCAATAAATTGAAGCAGA